AATATATCTTTATTGATTTCAGAGAGAGGAAAGAAGAGGGCGAGAGAGAGATAGAAACATCAATGATGAGAGAGTCATTGATTGTTTGCCTTCTGCATGTCCCCTACTGGGAATTGAGCCTGCAACCTGGGCATGAGCCTTGACTGGGAATCGAACCCCGATCGCCTGGATCCTAGGTCGATGCTCAACCGCTGAGCCACGCCTGGCCGGGCTATTCTTTTATTCTTGACAAGAATTTCCTATTTTTTGGTGGTGTAGAACTATCACAGTGGTTTCTTTTTGTTGTATGTGTTTTTCAAAGTATAGGTAGATCTGAATTATTTGGAGGGAAGTGAGATTTGTTTTGTAATTTTCTTTTAAATGGCTAAATAATAGAATATAAAAAGGAGGAAGTAAATAAAACTATGATTTATGTTCATTAGGTTTGTGTGAAGAACTTATAAAAAATAATTTTTGTCTCAATTTTCAGGCTTCATTATCTTACAGAATTGTCTTAAATATATACTAACCTAAAATATTTACAGTCTCATTTAAGGGTTTCTTATTATGTAAATTACATTGTAAAAATAAGTGCTTTAACTGATTTTATTTTTTTTACTCATTGGTTTTAATTTTTGTAAAGGTCTATTGAAAAAGTTAACTTTAATTTTATATTGTTCAACATAAAGGAGAAAAGAAGTCAAGCCCAAAAAAGGGAAGGACAAAATAAAAAAACATTGTAAAGAGACATCCTATAAGAAATCCAGATTATCTTCTACAGAAGAGACCTCTAAGAACAGGGACAAAGGTAAAGTGGAATCAGGATACAATATATACTCACATTTCTGAACATGGAGTGTAATCTTCCGTATGTTTCAAATGTAGATGTAATTGGTGAATGCGGTGGAGAATTTAGATACGAATTTACAGTAACTTACAGGAGTTTCAAGAACAAGGTTGGTTTTGATTCATTTTTGGCAAATGGTATAATATTTTGCAAATAGCCTTCTAATTCCTGGATTTGTCACTTAAAGACTTCTTACCTTGAACAAGTTACTGAACTTAACATTGGACTGGAACGAATTCAATCTGCCATTACCTACCTAATTTAAGTCTGATTCACTATAAGTAACGAGCAAGTTACTGAACTTGAGTTTTACTTTCCTTATGTAAGTAGGGGTGATGTGAATACCTGGCCTCTGTACTGCTTGAGCTTATTGTGGAGAATCAAATAACGTGAAAGGCACTTTGAACACTGTAAAACAATACATAATCTATAAGTCAGTGTAAAATTATAACACTGTGATTTCAGTTATGGTCTGTAATTTTTTCACTAGCTTATGACCTTGAAATGATAGAGATTGATATAATGTGTCATCAGAACCTAGCATGGTGCTGTGCACATACACTAAGTAAATAATTATTAAATTCAGATTCATTAGTCAGCCACTTCTTCCTCGACAGTTCTTATGCTTTCTAAGCCTTCGTTTCTTCGTGTGTAAATGGTCACAGTAATAGTACCTAGCTCAGAATTGTTCAGAAGTTGAAATGAGATAATACGTGTAAGCAGTTTGCTTAGTACTTGCCACATAATTAGCTTATTATGAAGGTTACTACTAGTTGCTTTTTCAGTCCCTAATAGAGTCAGATTGGCTATAATTTACAGTGAATTCAACTTAAATTAGGTAGGTAATGGTAGTTCGAATTAGTTCCAGTCCAATGTTAATATAATACTTGGACAGGAGAGGGCTCCCTTGCTCCAGCTGTGAAGATCTTTAGTTAGATTCTTACATGCATATTCTTTTTCTTCTTCCATATCACCTTATACAGGGTGTCCCAAAAAAATGTATATACACTTTAACAGCTGATAACTCAATTTAGAAAATGAAATGTATTTTAATAAACAGTGCCTTTATAATTACTCAAAGTGTGTATATACACTTCTTTGGGACACCCTATATTTAAGCACATAGTATCACCAAGTTTTTGACCTGGTAAAATTGATAGATGGTGAGCAGAAAATACTATTATTCTATTGTTTATTGAGAAATGGTATTCGAAGCAGAATGCCTTTTTGTCTCTATCTTAATCATTAACTCCAAAATAAATTTTAATTAATTAATATGAAAATCTCATTTGAGTTTTTAAAATTTGTTATTTACCTTTGTGTGCTAGTAAAATATTTGAAAATTTTGTTGCATTCATTATTGTATTATATAATATTGCTGCACTCATATCATAGTATGATATGTTAATCACTGCATATTCCAAATTAAAGAAGAACTAACCCCTTATAAAAATTTGTTCCATACAATAATTAGGTAGCTGGATACTTGGGATCAGGGATGGGTTCGACTCCTCAGATTATACATACATATGCATGTGATCTTCCTTATAAATATTTTTTCTTTAGTGTTCCATATTTCTGTAGATGACAGATGCCTCTGTTAACCTAAATAGTAATATCAGAAATCTGGGCATTATCCTTGATGCCTACTTTTTTCTCACTATTTACGTTTAACTTGTCACCAAATTCTATTGGTTTTATCCCCAGCGTATATATTTCTCAAGTTCTCTCCATCCTAGTTCAGACTACCATGTTTTCTCATCTAGGCTACTGTTCTGTTCTTCTTACTGGTTTCTTTACTGCCTTGACTTCCTACCTTCCCTCCCCTTAAGCTGTTTGCCATAAAGCAATGATATCTTGTTCTTAGGATAACAACCATAATCCTGGACAAAGCCCAAAGGCTCTGTATAGTCTGGTATGCAAGGCTTGTTTCTCACCACTCTCTACCTCACTTTCATACTTTACCCATAGAGCCTTTCAGTTAATGGAAATTCCAAACTTCTTTTAATGGAGGGACTACATAGATACTATTTCCTCTCTTCCTAAAACCCCCAGTCCCATCCTAACTCATCCTTCAAGTCCAACCTTAAATGTCACTTCCTCAGGAATCCTTTTCTGACTCCATCCCTGACCATGGGTCTAAATTAGAACTCCCATTTATAATGGTCACAGCCCTAGAACTTAATATTCGTTACCCATGACAATTAGGTAAAAGCCCAAGGAAGGCAGGGATTCTGTCTGCTATGTTCATTGATATATCCCCAGCACCCATTGGCACATGTTAGGCATAAGTAATAAAGAATGAGAACATGAAAGACTTTGAAGATTATTTCAGGCAGTTTCAGAGCAAGAAAACCAAAGCAGAGTGGAATTGAAACCTTTTTTTCTTATTCTTTATTCAGAGCATCTTTGATAACAGTGAGTATAGGATATAGTTATTTTTTTCAACTTACATGGTGTAAAGTAGAAAATGACAACGTTTTAGCAAACTTATAGGAAAACTGTGTGGAACTCTTTAATATCTCATATGGAACCATCTGGAACTAGATTGATCTGATATGATACTCTCTTGCCAGACCACTGTAATTTGGCCCAGACTTGAATAGGAATTAATAAATGCTTAGTATCTCAACTGCATTTGGACTGTTGACACTCCTCAAAACAATCTACTTTCTTGATTTTCTTCCTCTCTGGCCTCTCTCCTCACCTTTTATTAACTCCAGTTCCTCCTCAGTCTTATGCTTAGATGTTGGAGTTGCATAGGCCATTATAAAGCATCCCTTCTCTCTCTCTTCTTCCCGTGTGATCCCATCTATTACCATAGCTTCAGGTTACAATCACATAAAATGTTAAATAGGTAGATGTTTGGATGTTTGTATAGCTAGCTGGCTGAATGAATGGAGGGGAGTGTAAGAAAGATCAATAGCTTCACTCTGAGGACCAGTCTGCTTTGGCAGGTGTCAGCAGAACAAGTTACTTAGGTAGACTGTCTTGATAGAAACTTCAGCCTCTTACCACTCCCACCACCACCACCCCATTCCCAAGCTCAGTTCCTTTGAAAGGCCTTTCCTGACACCCTTCACCCCACTCTTGCAGGCAATGTTAGGTCCTTGTTACACATTTCAGTAGCACACTGTACTTCTCCTTTGGAAAAAATCACTGGATAACCATTATAGAACTGAATTTTTTAGTTTTATGACATAATCATATGTGTAATTTTCAGTTACTGAGAACTAATTCTTACTTACCTGTATATGATCTTTGAAAAAGTAGTGTGAAAAATGAGTATTTATTTGTAAATGGCTTTCAGATGTTGAACATCTGTATATACAAAGTATTGGTTCTATTTTAATCTATGGGTTGATTTTTTTTTTTTTTTAGTAACATAAGATTTTTTTACAGGTGCTCATTATTTTTTAAGCTTTGTGCTAGATATTCCAGTCCATACGAAGGCATAAACAATCCCTGCAAAGAACCTAACATTTTTATTAGGGAGATAAGTCTAAGGAACGTGAAAGATTAGAAAACTGTGAAGTGCTTTTCTGTAAGACTATAGACTATTGGAAATAATTCTAGTTATAGCTGCAGCTGTAGCACCACTGCAAGATGATTTTTAACAAAGCAGTGCTGTTTCCTTTCAGGACATTCATCCTCAAAGAAATCAGAAGATTCTATAAACAGTAAGTATTAAGTATCTCTTTGTTTAATAAAAATATGTAGATTCAAGTTATTTGCAATTTGGGTTTCCCATGAATTGTGACCTACTGTGATGTAAGCTATTTTTTTGTTTTTGTACTGTGTGAGAAAATCATAGAAAAAAGACCAAATGTATATGATTTCTTCCCCAATTTAGAACAGTTAAAAGTTTCTTATTTTAAGTATAGAAGAGCATAAAATATTTTCTCTGTGAATATAACGGATACACATTTCAGTTTTACATTATGGAATATGAAGGAAAAGAAGCAAAGGGATGGAGTTGGATTGGAATGAGATTTGGGGAGTAGATTAAGATTTAAGAAATGTTGCTTATATTGCATGGAAGTGAGTTATCTCTGTCACTTGGTTGATTTTGATTGATCAAATGAAGTGTGTGGTTTGTGCATGGAAAGCAAATGGTTGCTAGTGGTTAGTTTTTTAATAAGTCCTTTGGTTTTCCCAAGATTTGATCAAACCAGATTGGATTTTATTGAATGTATGCTACAAATTTTATTATTTTTCCTCTGCAATATTCCAAAAAATATTCACAATGACTTACAAAAATACATACATGAGATTTTTTTAAAGGTGACATCAGAAAAATAAGATAGAATAGCAAAATAAAGCTAGAGGTAAAATTAATATAGAAAAATGTTTACCAAAATGTCCTGCATAATTGCAAAGGTAGATCACAGATGTGTTATTGTTCTTCCTAATAACCAAACCAAAGTAGAAAACCACCAGTAGAATGGTTAATTATACCCATATGATGATAAGGAGAACTCGAAGGGTGCTTAGCTTTTTCTAGGCAGGGTTTTTAGAACAGAACCTTCTGTGGGTTCTTAAAAGAGGACATCCATTTGTGATACAACAAACAGTACCCTTGCATGTCAACAGTAAAACTGTTGAATTTCTTAAAGACTTTGCAGTAGGCATAGGGCCTAACAATAAAGTGTAAATCAATAGCATATCTAGTTGTATAATATCTGGACTTACTTTATAGAAATTCAGAAATTTAAGACTTCTAGGCTTATTTGGAACTTTATAAACTTAAGAATGAAATTTTTTCTGCTTTTAAAGTAATATGTGTTTACTGTGGCAAACTTTAGAAAAATTTAGTAATTATTCCAAATCCCACCACTCAAACATAAATATTATCACCATTTTAGTATAATTCTTTTAAAAAAATATGTAATTCCCAGGTAGTTATGTTTTTAAACTGGTAGATCTGATGCTTTTTTAAAAAATTCATTTTTTAGAAAAGGGGTAGGGGGAGAAAGAGAAGCATTGATTGGCCACCTCCCACAACCTGGGTATGTGCCCTGACAGGGAATCAAACTTGCCACCTCCTGGTGTATGGGACGACACTCCAACCAACTGAGCCACACTGGCCAGGGATAGTATAATTCTTAAGGAGAATTTTTAAGTGTTTAATAATCAGAAATTTTGCATTGAGAAAAATAGAAAAACTGGGTAAAGTATAATAACAGTTTCTAGAATGTAGTCAGGCACGAGACTGATAGACATGCTATCTGGGATAAAGTAGTAAGTATGTATATTTTCAAAAAACATACACAGGTTAAAGTGGGAAATTTTACTTTAGTTTTTATCCATTTCCAAAAGTGCACTGCAGTGAGAGGTGTGAAGGCCTATTTAATGTAGAAAAAATATTGTCCTTTTCCAATTCCAAAAGGTCTAGACTGACTTATTTTCATTCTTTCATTCACTCTTCTTTCTCCCTCCCACAGTCTCCTCTCTAGCCCTCCCAATCCTCCCCCATCTCCCGGAAATAGCCATAAGTCTCTTTACCTCTCAGTTAGGTCAAACTTCTAGTACTGGAGAGAGAATATTGTACCCAACATGAAGAACCTCTAGCTTAGTTTCGTTCTTGAAGAAAATAGATTATCCACCTCAAGGTGCCCTGCTATCCATTTTGCAATCAGGAAGCCATTTATCATAATGAGTAGGAAATATGTACCTTTCTATGGATAGTATGCCAAACCCAGATATCTTCTCATGTGTGGCCAGTGATCCATCTTAGATGGTCTTGGCAATTTCAGAACTCAAGTTGTGCTAGTTCTAGCCTTCATTTACATTTGGATAATATTCAGTTACCCTTTTATCCTCATTTGACATAAGGATTATTAAAACCAAATCCATAAAGAAAAACCTAATTTCTGTGGGGGAAAAGAATTTTAACTTGCATTTGTTGATTGTCTACTTGCATTTGTTGATTGACCACAGTGGCAAGTGGTTTAGTTGTATTATCTCATTTAAAATTAATTATAGGCATTTAATATCCCACTTTGCAGACTAGAGAACTGAGACCCAGAGAATTTACAGGCATACCTCAGAAATATTGCAGGTTTGGTTTCAGACCACCACAGTAAATCAAATATTACAATAAAGTGAGTTGTAATCTTTTTGCTGGTGAGAGTCTTGCCTTCAGTTTGTGAAAAAGTGCAACATCTGCGAAGTGCAGTAAAGCAAGGCACAATAAAACAATGGGTACCTGTATATAAATTGCCTATGATCAAGTAGTAGGTTAATGGCAGAGCTGGGATTAAACACAGGTTTATAAGTCTATGACCTTTTACCTATAATATTAATAACCGTTCATCAGTGAATCAAATGTAAGTCCACTCTATATATTTTGGCAGATACATTATCCAAATCCACATTAAATGATATGTTCTGTCTGTGTCTCAGTTCTATCTATAAAAATGGGTATAAAGAGTCTTTGTTGGATTATTATCAGTCTAATGAAATAACATGGGTAACGCATGTGTCTGATACAAAGTAAGTCCTTGATAACCTGTAGCTGTAGTTGTTATATCAAGAGAAAACTATCACAGTCAACATATTCTGTATTTGTTCTCTGAAATTGGTCAGATCAAAAATTAAATCTGTAAAAGTCTGGTCTGTTGATTTGTTGTCATGATTGGAAACTGGCCACTTCTTCAGTAGGCCAAGGTATTTGGTATCATATAATATCCAGAAAAATCAAGGTGATAGACCTGCTTTTATTATTCAAAGCACGTAAGGGAAATTGTGTGCAGTTTGCATCACATTCTAAGGGGACATGGAACCGGGTCAGGAATAGAACAACCACAGTGTTGACACAACTGGAAATTGTGTCATGGAGCTGCTTGGAGAAAGAGGAAGGGGTAAGGAGGTAGACATAGAAATTAGATATTTGCAAGACCACTACTATGTGGGAGGCTTATTTTTGGTGTGTCGGCGAAAGGGGAGAATTACCCCCACCCCCAGACCCTTCTTAAGTTCTTAATGGCTGGACTAATAAAATTGACATGAGATTAGATTAACAGGAGAAAAACGAATTTAATGTATGCACATGAGAGGTCATAATATGATGTTCGTAAAATGAGGCTCAAAGAAATGATCAAACCAGTTGCCCTTTATAGTTTTTAGGCAGAGAAACAATAACTTTGTGAAGAAATTGACAGGACAAAAGGGGAAAAAAAGTGCTCATTAGAAAGGAATGTAAGCAAGGTTTGGGTACTCATTAATGAGGAATCTAAACAAAATTTGAGCTTGGATAGTAAATTAGAAAAGAGGGGAAAGGTTTGTTTACACAGATTCTTTGGCTCTGAGTTTTTTGACTCTGATATGGGAATTCTTGGCCTCCAGGTTCAGGGAGGGTACCTTTCAAGTGGGAGATTTAGCTCCTGCTTTGAGGAATAGAGAGGTCAGAGTGTTCCTTCACTGGCAGTCTCCTAAGTAACTTTAACTCAAAATAATCTCTCTCTCTCTCTAAAAATCAATACAAATCAATTAAAAATATCAAAGTAATCAACATGCTACTGTGAGATATCTTGGGGTGGCCTGCCTTGGACCCCACCCCCCAGCACATGACTGGTTGGCAGAACTAGAGTCTGTGGACAAAAATTGCCCGAGGACAGAGTTTTGCCTTAATTTAAGGAAAAATTTGTCAGTTAGAACTATCTGAAGAAAAGAATGGAGGATTGTGCTGCTTCAGGAAGTAGTGAGGTGTTCAAGCGTAGGTTGGACAGCTACTTGTTGTTGGAGGTATAGCAATAAGAGATTCATTCATTGGATAAGGGTTGAATTAAAGACCTCCATGAGTCCCTTGCCACACAGAATCAGTGACTTAAATTCTGATCCCCACTTGCCAATAGATTTGCCACTGATGCAAGAGTTCCATTTTGTATTGCTCATTGTATTAATTGTTATTTCTTTAGCAATACCCCTCCTACCTCTGGCAGGTTATAGCAGTTATCAGGAATGATTTGTAGTTATTGTCAACCTCAGGGAAACAGGATATTATAGATTCATGAGGTTGTAAGGGAACGTAAAGGTCATATAGTTCAATCTTGTAGATTTGCTTCTCTTCTCTACCGATGTTTGGCCACTTTTCCAGCATGTGCTCTTTCAAAGAGTTATTTTATAATGTTATTCTAAACTGATTTGATATTTTAGGAAAACTTGATTGTCTGGTATCAGAAAACTGGTGTAGGAAAGCTGGCGTCTGGGAAGTACTCTTGAGAAGGGAATATGAGAGCAGGTGGTTGTAATGCCTTTTGAAATTAGCTGTCCACTTTCAGAGGCATTGTAGGATTTGTTCTTACATCATTAACAGAGTTACACCATAGTGATAACTTTATTAGGCCTAATTAGTTTTTCTGTGTCTTTGTTGTTCTCATAAAAATAAGAGAAGACTTTTAATTATTCTCGCATATTCAGTTTGGGACACTGGCTGTCACTGAGTGGCAGTCTTGTTCCAGAGGCTTTATAATTTTATCATCTTTGTATGTAGATCATTAGAAATGTCCCATCCACCCCCCCTTTTTGATCCATTTTTTGTTAGAATTTCTGGCAGAATAGATTCAGTTGGGACCAAAGTTCAGATACACATGTTGATTTAAGAATCAAAGTCCAACAGGTAAAAGACTAGAACACCATGGCAAATCAGTGCTGTTTTATTTTTGTGGTGTGTTTAACTGAAGGACATTCTGTATTGACATTCTGTACTGACAGACCAAATTTGTGTCAGTTCTTTTTATAGACTAATGGGCATTATTGGAGAGGAATTATTTACTATTGTAATTACTTTGTGGCATATAATTGTATTGCCTTATAATACAGTTTTTAGTATTTGATAATTTTTAGTTGACTAATATAGGGTGATTGATTTAAAACGTCTATTTTGTCATAATTTTAATATAGAAGTATCTTTATTGTTTTTACTTATTTTTAAAAGTATTACATGATTGTTTAAAATACAAAAATTTGGAAATGCTTAAAGTAGAAAGTGAAAGTATCCTAGGTCCATGTTATAGTTTGGTTGGTACTTATAAACTTCTAATACATATATACATACATATAATACAAATATAATTTTCTATATATCTATATGTAGCTATATGTATAATGTTTTAACCATAAATTGGATTATACTGTGCATGCTTCCTTTAACTTAAAAAAATTGATATAACAGACATTTTCCCATGATAATACATATAGATATGCTGAGGTCTTTTTAACAGCTGTATAGTATTTTTTTTAACCAATCCTTAATCCCTAATTGGTGGAGATTTAGGTTGTTTGCATTTATATAGTGAACATCTTTGTACATATATCTGAGGTGCTTATTTTAAGTAAATAATTAAATTCCTAAGAACAGCATTGCTGGTCAAAAGGGTTATGTACATTCTAAACTAATCTGTATTACCAGATTTTCCTCAAGAAAAAGTTTCCTAACAAACAACATATAAGAATTACTGTTTTTTCACTGAAATAGGCCTCTTTTAATTAATATAATCAACATAAATTTTAAAAAATATCTGACTTTTTAATAATTTAGCCGATTCTACATACTAGTTCAGTTCTTGAGGTCTTGATCCTAAAGTAAATATACTTTCTACAAAAATCTTAAATCTTAACTTGCATGTCTTTTGTATGACCAATAAAAATAAGAAACTAGCCCGGCCAGGCGTGGCTCAACAGTTGAGCATCGACCTAGCATCCAGGCGATTGGGGTTTGATCCCGGTCAGGGCACATGCCCGGGTTGCGAGCTCGATCCCCAGCAGGGGGCGTGCAGGACGTAGCCGATCAATGACTCTCATCATTGATGTTTCTCTCTCTCTCTCCCTCTCCTTTCCTCTCTCTGAAATCAATAAAGATATATTTTAAAAATTTTTCTAAAAATAAGAAACTAAATCAAAGACAACCACATATATTGCAAGAGATAATTCCTTTATAAGAGTTAATATTGGAATTGCTACTTTAACTCAGTGTAACTTAGAGAAGTTTTCCCTGAGACTTTAAATCCTTGATCTTTTTGCCGAGACTCTTTGGTATATCTCAGCTTATTTATTTATTTTTAGAAAGAATTTATTGGTCTGGAAGAGTGAATTAAATTTCCAGAGGGCTGTAAAAGTTGAAACTAAACTGCAGTTAAATCTGAAGTTAATTTAATTGCAATGGTGGGTAGTTTAAAATGTGTTTTAAATATAATATTCACATTTTTAAAAAATCTCTTAAATGAACAGGAAACTCTGATGAAGAAAGTACCTCAGACTCTGAACTTTGGAAGGGCCCACTACCAGAGACCGATGAAAAATCACAGTAAGTTCTTATAGTAATAGATAATGCACACCCTTTACATCAGTTTAGGAAGCTCTGACCACAGCCATTCTTGATAACAGTTAATGAAAAAACTTATCATGAATGTCTGTGTAATGCCAAGGACCACCTAGCCTGGTAAGATCAGAGTTTATTCCCAGCCATTGTTTGTGGCCCTAAGGGCTGTTTACTAGCTTCTAGAGCAGTCTACCCACAGTATTTTAATTATCGTAAACCTGTACAGGGGAACTACTTGAAGAAATATACAGGTGTAAAAGTTTACTTGCCATCACCCCTTTGCCCCAAAGATAATAACTGATTGGATGCATTTTTTTCTGCTATGAGTTGGAAGAACTGTCTGGATATGGGCTGAGATGTTATCAGTTCTTGTCACGTACTGGGATGTTCAGCACTTGAACTTTATCTGTTAAAAGAGGATGAGATAATTCATATTGCATAGAGTTTATTACTGAAGTTTAATGAAATAAAGAATGTAACACTGGTATAATACCTACAAATATATTAACTGCTCAATAAATTTTAGTCTCATTTTGTTAGTCCCTAGGCATATTTGATTCATCATAGAGACATGTTGAATCAGTCATAATTTAATAATTTAAGCTGATTGTAAATTACCTTGCTAATTGTATGTTCTCAATGTAATAGAACCCAGGTGTGTTTGAAAGAGGTTTTTTTTAAAACAAGATTACTTTTCTGTGACCTTTGACCTTTTTATTTAATTTATTTTTTTAGCCAAAGAATTCTCACATGTGTGGTCATTATACATCACATTATTAAAAAGTTATTAGTATAAATAAAATATCGCTATCTTAGTTAAATTATTGACTAAACTTTCAACAATATATCTTCCCCTTGAAAAGCTTTACAGCTGAAAATGACAGGATAGGTCTTAAGAGTCAATCCACCTTTTAAAGCAATAAAGATGCATGACTAAATCCTAAGAAGGCTTTTATGATCCAAAACTCTTTGTGACTATATAAAAACTTAACATTGATCACGTATTGAACATCTGAGCTTACACAGAGATTCAGCTCATTTTACTTAAGTTCTTACTACAGTTTTAAAAATTCTTCATTTTTCTGTCATGCTAGGGGAACAGGACAGTAACATGAGGAATATCAAGTTGCAGATAATTCTTAATCAACTTTATCTGATTCTGTAAATTTTTCTTTCAATTTTGACGTGGTTGCGATGGCTTTACACTGTCACAATTATTTAAAACCAAGTGATAGAGTCCCATTGTGAATCTCTGATCTAAAAGAGCATTTTCTAAAGAGACTGGTACACTGTATTTGATGATTCAGTTTGATTCCAGTTCCCAGAAGGAAGAAAAGCAACTTCGTATACGTTTAATCCTTAAAGCAACTCTGCGAGGAGCTGTAATGTGCTCCATCTTACAGAAAAGGATACTTGGCCCAGAGAAGTTAAGTAACTTTCTCCCGCAGCTAATAAGTGAGAGCTAGGACTTAAACACTGACTTGAAAACCTGTGTCATTTCTACAGTACCACTCTGAGCTCCTAGCATTAATATTTTTATTTAGTACTTTATAATTTTAATAGTATTTTAACACATTAAAATATAATTTAATATCTCCTTTCAGAGTTCTACTCTTTGTTTTAGCCATAATCTACTGATACTTTTACTATTTTACTCCTCTTTTAGAAAAACTTGAAGTCTTAGCATATTTTCCCTATTGCTAAGAGTAAGACTTATATATTTCTTTAAAATAGGGTTTTTTTCATTCATTTCTTGATCAGACTATAATTTATATGAGAATGAACAGAGCAGTTCTAAAGTGAACCAAAAAAGCAAAGTGAAGAAATGACATTTTACAGAGTACTTCAAAGTAAAATCTTAGGTAATAAGTACATTTAGGGAGAGGTGCTAACATATACAACATTTTAATTTCAACTAATCTGGGTATAGTTTTGGTTATCTAGAAGCTAAGAATTATTTAATGGCTGAATCATAAAATATATTGATATGTAGAAAAATCAGCAAATATGTTGAATTAAAATATTTTTATTAATTGTGTGTCACCTAGTAATATTTTTTCTCTAATTGTTTATTTTAATCAATTTGTGTGTTTTTTTAAATAGGGAAGAAGAATTTGATGAGTATTTTCAAGATTTATTTCTATGAGATGGAAGTGAGAAGCCTACATTCCTTAATGTAAAAATACACTTTGAAATTCTTCCAAAATGTTTTATCTATAAGTTGTAGTTTGAGTGATTTGTCTTTGGAAATAAAAATTCAGCTACTCTCAAGACATCGATGCTTTGGAAGTTTGTTGCTCCTAGTGGTGCCACTCTCCCCATTCTTTGTATGTCTGTTTCATCTGTAGCTCCTAGAGGATGGAGCTAGTACACTGTGCAGATTCTACTGTTCTTGATGTTGAAGGTGTGTGGGTTTTCTTAACTTATTCATATTATCTTTCCTTGCCTCAGTTAGTTAAAATTATTAGTATTATTAGAATCTCACAAAAATCATCAAGTAGATTAAGTATATCTTCAACTTCCTTACTTTTATTTGATACACTGACATCCCTCTTTGGAGCACCTGTTTCCCATTACTACCTTTTTTTTTTGCTTACCTTTCTCTTGCTTCCTTCTCACCTTTCTCTACCACTGAAGGAAGTTAGTTATAATCAAATTGATTTTCCAGTATGTGGGTAACTTATTATAAAGCAAATTAATACCATAGGGAGCCAAATGAGGTCCCCGTAGTCTAAAACAGAGGATGTGTACACAAAAGTTGACTCTCCAACAGAGCTTATGCATTAAGATAATTCAACTGAATAATACAGTGTCCATAGAGCTTGTCTCAGGTACAGCCGTGCAAATATGGATATATTATAAAATGTAACTTAACTCAGAGTCCACACCTGCAAGAGTAATTGGATGTGCTTCAGGAGAGCTAAGCACTCCTAGAATCTTTGTAAACTTCAGTGTCTGTATGTGTTTTTTGGGGGGAAGGGTCCATAGTTTTCATCGAATTTTCAAAAGGATTTATTGATTTTTTAAAAAGTAAAGACCCATTTTTATAAAGAGCAAAGAAGTGGCTAAAGGAGAAGACGCTGATGAGCAAGAGGGAGGACATGTAGTGAATGATGGTAGCATTCTAGTTATTTGGTTGAATTCAGATATACTGTTTTCAATGACATTTAAATGTGGAATGATCCATATATTTGGTATTGCAAGTTTGGTTAATGGACCAAGTTCTTTTATGAATTTAGATTATTCTATGTAATCACATCTAATCCATTCATACACAGTGGAAGGTAATGGGAGTCATATTTTGAAGGAGTCTTTGAAAAGGCCTCAGGATGAGGAGTTTAAAAGCTGATTCTCCCACAGACATTTCACATTTGGCTATGGGACAGTCAGGGTGTCCAGTGGCCCATTGGGTTGGGATATGAAGTTATGCTTTCTTATACTTGCTCTGCAGCGAAGTTCATACTTTTGCCGACCTTCAGTGGTAGCATGTTTCTTCCCCACAATTTGCTTTCTAGTGAATGAGGAGGGGAACTTGTTTGAGCTGACTGATATTTTTGGGTCCAAAATTACATAAAGCTAAAGGAAGAGACTTTTTTATGCAGCTTCTAAAGTAATCCTAGACTTGGAGTTTCAGAATTATTTTAAGCAGTAGAAATAAGGTGTACAAGCACTACTTACCCCAGGTTATGACGTATATAGAGAACACTCACTGGTTGTATATATTGAGTTTTTTTCTTCCTAAAAATATTTTATCATCTTACAGGAACTCCTATGCATAAACGTGTGTGATGAGATTTATTCAAAATACTCGTATTTACTAAACGCCTACCTTAACACCAGGCATTTCCCTCAGTGCCCGGGTAGCGCTATGAAAAAAACAAAATAGACAAAAATTTTCATCTCATGTACCTTATAGGATAGCAATCTTAGGATTCTAAGTACCTAATTTGTAAAAATATAATAAATGGTGACTTATTTCTTGGCTGCTTAAAATTAGTATCTCCTATATAACAAAACAGGTTCATAGATCATTAATTCATTATAATTTAGATATCGTTTGATTGAAACAGTCTCTGGTGTAATTATTTTAATTCATTATTTTAATTATTTTGATTGTTATAATTATTATGTGTTCTAATTCAGTCTGTGGTTATAGAGAATTAAAGGAAGAAATCTTGTTTTTCTGATGTCTAGACATGCATCATGTAGTAGAAGTAGTTGATTGTCCTTAGTGTCTCTTGACAAATATATAGACCAATATATAGTTCTAGTAATCATTTTTAAAAGTAACCACTCTTGAAGTCCTTCCCAATGGCTTTTGATAGTAAAGTGCTAACATAATCAAATCACATTCTTCTGAATAATGCATAATATTTATTAGCTGGTGTAACATGCATTAGGATTACCCATGTAATGTCTTATAAATTGATAATTGCTATGAGAAAAATAGTTCTGAACATAAAATATTCTTAGTTACACATAAAATAAATGATTCCAGACTTGTGGAGAGGGATGGGCATTGGACAAGGTATCGATTATAAGCTGCCAAAAGTGGTGTGGTCTTTACCATTCCTTTATCAAGGGTAAAATGTAGAGGAAAGAGATGATAAGCATTTCAGATAGAATGACATTTGACATCCTTGTCTTTGTTTTCTTTATAGTATTTACGTACAGTATATATTCTGTACTGTATTTACTCTTCCAGTAAGACATGATGACAAGATATTTTTAGTTCAGGAAGGGATTTGAGTATAAATCACAATGTTATGGGCTGAGAATTATGTCCTGCCCCCACCCCACCTCCAAAGGTATGTTGAAATAGAAACTCCCAGTACCTCAATGTGACTGTATTTGGAGATAAGGTGTGTAAAGAGGTAATTAAGGTAATAGAAGGTCCTATGAGTAGGCTCTCATCCAATATGACTGTGTGCTTATGAGAGATTAGGACAGACACACAAGAGGAAGACCATGTAAAGACGCAGGGAGAGGCTGGCCATCTACAAACCAAGGAGACACCTCACAAGAAACCAACCCAGCCAACAACTTGATCCTGGTCCTCTAGCCTCCAGAACTGTGAGAAAATAAATTCTGTTGTTTAAGTCACCCAGTCTGTGGTATTGGTATTTTGTTACAGTAGCCCGAGCAAATGAATACAGTCAATAAGAACTTTTAAAAAAGAATTGGTGACTAGTTTCAGGATTATTATTTTTTTAATTTAAAACAAATTGGCACCAAAAAATGCACTCATTGTTATCTTATTTTGCGCTTTTATTGAACTTTATTTTACCCTTAGGGTTTTCAGGCTAGCAATGTATTTTCTCTCAACAGTCACAAGGGTAGCTTTTCTGAAGCCCCTCTTACTGTGTACCTTAATGGTTTGCTGAGTGAAATTTGCTGAAGTTCTTTTGAATGTTTTCTGTTTTTCTTCAAAAGTAGAAACAATATTTGAAATTTAGTCCAATTGGGTCATATTACAACATTAGACAAGTTTTGGACTTTTTGTCATCAGCACCACCTCCTGAATCTTCTGCAGCTAGAAAAAAGGAGAAAAGCAGTATTATTGGGAGTCTGTGGCTATAGAGTGTTTTTATTCTAACACTAATGTTAGCATCAACTTTGAGGGAAATTAATAGTTTTCGCTTATAGCAAATACTACGGACAGGCTTGACCATTTGAAAACTTGAATTCATACTCAGAATTGATCCATTTAAAAAACAATCCAATAAACGATTAGCTTTGGGCTAGGCACAAAGCTTGTTGCCTGGAGATACAAAATAATGTTCCTAGTTCACAGAGGCTTCTCAGTGCAATAGGAAAAAAATTCAGAAGTGATTTTTTTATGTACATAAAGTATAGAAGATCCATGTCCAATATACTGAATACTAAAAGAAAACATCCTGTTCTTCATAAAGGACCTGGTAACCTGTCCCATTCATCATAAAGGACCTGGTGTCCTGTCCTGTTCTTCATAAAGGACCTGGTGTACTGTCCCATTCTTCATAAAGGACCTGGTACCCTGTCCTGTTCATCATAAAGGACCTGGTATCCTTTCATCATAAAATGGAGATAGATTAAACTTAATTGTACTAAGAAATATCTTTGCTTTCACTTGCTCAGTAAAATTACCACTTTTATCTTTTTGACGTGCAAATTAGAGCTTACTGCTTTCCTGTTTAAATCCCTTCAATGACTTCCCTCACCCTTCTGGGGGACAAATCCTTGGCAAGGCCTTCAAGGCAACGCACCATCTGGCAGAGCTCCCTGCGTCACCAGCTTTGTCCGGTGCTTCGCCCTCGCTGCTCTCCAGTCCCTCGAGCTACACCACTTAAGATCTCCAGCTGCACCAAGCTTATTGCCACTCGAAGGCCTTTGTACACATTCTCTCCTTTCCCTTCTGCCCAAACCCCTCCTCCCCTCTGCATAGCCCAAGTTCAGAGTTTAGCATAAGCATCCTTCTTCAGGAAAGCCTTCGCTGATGCCCCAGGTACACACCTCATGCTTCCTCTGATAGACAAGCAGTTGTTCATTTATTGTCTTAACATCTAGCTCCCCCACCAGAGAGTGAGCTCTGTGAGGCTCTTTCCCCAGGGCCTGCCTAACACAGGGCCTTGTACAGAATAGACACCCAATAAGTACGTAAGTGAATGGATATCAAGGAATCAGAAACTCCTATTTTTCTTCTGTTGAAGGACATCTTTAACCATTTAAGCAAAATGCTTTCTCCGTCTATGAATCTTTAAAATGCCACTAAACACAATAGAGGCATCTGAAATGGGTGGGAAATGTCTGCATTTGGCCCAGGAAATCATTTGGCCTGGCCCTGCCAAGGCAGCCACAAGTAGGACTCGAAATTCAGTAAATCTAGGAGCTTTCTTCATAGCTAAGTTTTAAGTTGATAATTTTGTATGGCCTGAGAATGATGTTATAAATATCCAAATGGCCCTTGGCAGAAAAAAGGTTTCCCACCCCTGATCTAAAAGGAATGTTGTAACTTGTTTTGCAAGGCCTTTCCAGATAGAGGTGATTTCTTTGTTAAACAAGAAGAGTTTCTTAGAAAACTTTTTGAGTGCTGAACTTTCAAGAAAACATAAGTCATCCCATTTGCATTCCACTCTAAAGATAACATTTTGAGACATGTTGATCTTGAGTGTCGTAACAGGTTTTCTGAAGATGTTGAACCTAACAAAGTGAGTTTAGGAGTAGAAATTTCATCAGGAAAACAGCACTGTGTGGAGACATTTGAGGCTCAGGCAAAGTCTTGGGGTACCTGTCACCTCACTCAGCTGGCCAGCTTTGCTTTGCATGTGGGGCCTCCTTAACTTTATATGCAGGGCTTCCAGGAGACCTGTGAAAACTTCTCCTTATATAGAGAAGAATATTAAGCTCAGAGAGGTTCAGCAAGTTGCTCACAGCCTCACAGCGAATGCATAATGTTGGGGCTAAAATTGTTTTCTCACCTAACCCTGACTCTGTGGTTTTCATGTTATTTCTAAAGACTCAGTGTTCTGCATAGGTGCTTCAGGAGCCACCTTCTAGGTGGATGAAGCCCAGCCCAACCCCCTTCAACCGGACCGACTGGTTCCATCTGGAAGCATGCATAAGATCTTGTTTCCTGGCGGGAAAACCCCCAAAACCACTAACCAACACCTTAAAATGCAGTAAAGGAAGTTTAACGTTTGTGTTTGCTCTTTATGTTTTTGTCGTGTGACTCCTGGCTTCCTACAAGAAGGAAAAACAATTCCATCCAACCTTTTTCAGTTGCGTCTCCTTCTTCCTGCCTTTTCACCTGCTCTTCCGTGGCCTTCACCTTTGCCTCGTACTCATCAGCCAGGGATTTCCACTCCGTCCGGTTATTCTGGAGGCCGGTCAGCATGGGCGTGACCTCTCTGTGGAACCGGGAGAGCTCCTGCAGGGAATCCGGGTGGAGAACTACTCACACTCTGCGGCCGATGCTCAGTACTTGCCGCCTGCGGGGGAGCTGGAGGAAACTGGGGTGCTCAGAGCCGTGAGGGTGAGCCCCACATGCTGCCCCGAGCCTGGAAAGACGGGCACTGTCCCGCCGCCTAACGCGGCTGTTCAACCTGCTGTCATCCGAGCTCTTTAATTCCACTCCCGAATGAGAGGGAGGCAGTGCCTCAAACTACTTTGGAGAGAAAAGGACAACGGCTTCCCATGTGGGGCCACTTTGAATTTGGCTGCAGTTTGAAAGAAAAATTCTCATCCAGATGATTATGTGTTTCACTCAAATAATCAATTTGTTTACTTACCTTATATACAAAAGTGCAAACAAAATCAATAAATCCAACTTGAAGTTTAGGGAGTTCATCTTTTTTGTTTCTGTCCATCATAGGCTAGAAAGAAAAACAAATCCTTTAAAGATAGTTTTCTAAGGTTCGGTGAACAAAACAGATTTGAACTGATCCTTTTTAATACGTAGTGTGTTTTTATGTCAAGGTCTTTACAATAGGTTGTTGCTGCAGCACCGTTCTCTCCAGGTCTCCTTGTTCCCAAAATTCACTTGCAACTAGAAGTGCTACCTGCAAACAAGAAAGACTTGGTTCATGAAAGAAATTTATTCGTAGAGAATTTGCATTGCATTAGTATGAGTGACATTTAGGGATAGGGTTTATAGTTAATGTTTGAGGTGGTGTCATACCACATGCTCTTTGGTTTTAAAAAGATGTCGTTTATAGTTTATATTGAAATGGGAAAGGGGAATTCTCTTCCTACCAGTGCTCCAGGCTCATTCTGGGAGTGCCCACCTCCTATTTGCTATTGCCGCCACCTCTCAACAATAAAAAGGGAGATGGGAAGATGTTTAATTCCATTTTATTATGCTTCAAGCTCTAAAGCCTCTCAAGTCCTTCTTTTGTCCTGTGGATCTGTTAGCATGTAGCATGTACTGCATGTGTGGTGCGCACAAGCAGTCACACATATGCACACAGAGAACACAGCTAACTTGATTACAGCGTGCAGATATTTGAGGGTTAATTTATATAGTTTTTAAAAACCCAGTATCGAGTTTATTGAACACCACTAGCTGCCTTACACTGGCATGAGCCAGGCTTGCCAAGAGGAATGAGATGTGACATTTTTCTTTAAGATGCTCACAGCCTAGAGAAGACAGTCATGTAAACAGTGTGGTAAGTGCTGTAAGAGTAACAGTATGAAGTGCAGTGGGTCAAGGAGAAGGGAGTAGAGATAAGTTTAATGAAGGACGGAGGTTGCTCACTGAAGAAGAGATTGTAGGAGCAAAACCGCCTAGATAGAGGAAAGCACTAATGATTCATCCCTGTGCTGATTTCTCTCCTCTGTTTAAAAAATCACACAATCCCGGGATAATTAATTGCACGTAAACTTTTTACAGCCTGTTCAGTGATAAGGAATTCTTTCAAGAGAGCATTTTCTTTTCAATATTCCTTGTATTTGTTTTGTTCTGGGGCCTGATCAAAAAGACCGATTGTCTTTCTGACATTTGTGAGCTCTTGAAAGCTATTAGCCTTTCTTCATTAACAGAAACCCAATAGGGAACATTTTATCTTTGTCTTAACTTCTCAAGCTCCTCTTTCCATCTTTTTAAATTATAAACTGATTGTCTGAAAGGACAAGTCCAGGGTAATGAAAGATAATTGCTTATAACATATATAGTCATATAAGTGATACTACAACACAATTCTGAGGTTGCCGGATACCCGCATGCTCACTTTTACATGGAACTTAGACAGTACCCGAGAGTGTGACACAGCAGGAGACATAACTTTATTCACCTGACTTTGCACCTCCCAGGGTTTGGTTATAGCTGACAAGTCACATGCAGTCATCATCATCGCCCTTTGGAAGGAAACAAGTTGTTAATATAGAAAGAAATACAAAATAAGTGATTTTTGCCAAAAGAGGAATACAGTTCTGACTACTCACATGATGATCTCTTTTTTGGTTGGGTCATCGGTTACGTATTTGATGGCCTCCTCTTCGGTTTCCATTCTTTCACAGGCATCAACAATTTTTTGAAACATGGTTCTCTTCCTAAAAAAAGACACAGCTGTGCAATAGTGTAGAAGACCAGAGATTTTTAAAAACCTATCTTTAATATCTTTAACGTGTGCTCTTCAGATCTCCTGAGGCACATCCAATGACTTGCAGGTGTGGACCCCGAGTCAAGAAGTTACATTTTATAACATATCCGCGCATAAGTATATCCATATTCGCAGGACTGTGTCTGGGACATGCTCTATGCATGCTATTAATAGGGTTAAATTGTCTTAGTGCATAAGCTCTGTTGGATCAACTTGCATGAACATAATGTGGTATAAAATTGAAGGTATGAAAACCCTAAAGCGTTCTCATTTCTAGGGGGAGTTTTTCGGAAACTCTCATATATATACAAGGACATACAGTGTAGTATTGTGGGCAATTAAAAAAACTTGGAAGTACTCTAGAGGTCCATGGATGGAAGAATGCCTGCGTTAATTAGGGTATATGCACACAGTTGGGTATACAGTAAAAACGAATGAGTTGGATCCCCATTTCCCACCAAGGTAAATCTTTACTAGAAAATGTTGCATGAAAAAAGCAAGTTGCAGAAAGGTACGCACAGTACTGTACCACTTACGCAAAATTTTAAAATACACTTCACGAGACCACATGAAAACGTGGATGGAAAGGACAAATACACATCGGTCTCTGGATGGTGATGTCTGGGGTGGGGGCGTCTCTCATGGCAGAGTGGGGGTGGGATGCCTCACTTCTAGCACTTTTTTTCTCCTTAAAAAAACCCAAAAAACTAGGACAGGTATGGTAAAATGTTAGCATTTGTTGAATTTGGGTTATGGATATTTGGATATCAATTATATTATTTTAAGTGTCACCATGTTTGAACTATTTACTAATTAAATGTTTGATTAAGAAGCTTCAGAGGGGCCCACTTTGATGCTGCCCATCAGAGCCATGAAATGTTTGGATCCTACAACTTGTTCACCTCGTTCTAATCCATTTTCAGCAAGCAACTTGATGGTTCACTGACAAGAAAATGTGCAGGAGCTTGAAATACGTGGTCCTTGGTAACTATTATTATTATAAATAAGCTGGCACGCTGCTGTGTATAACTCAGAACTCTGGGACTTTGCTTAACATGCCACAGTATCCCCAAGATTGTTCATCTCCCTCACCCTGACGGGATCGAACGTCAGGCTCTGGACCACGGCGAATTCGCCAGGACAAGAGCCACTGTGTGAGGCCTGTGGTGTCGCCCACCCTTCCAGCAATGCACCAACCCTGCCGGATATTCCTCAACTCAAACTTCCTCAGATAACAAACTACTTAATATCAGGGGCTTAGCTTTTTAAAATGTTTCCAGATGTCTAGTAAATTCACACTCGGGCATCTTGAAGGTATTCCGTTGATAACCCCAAAGGAAAATGAATAAATGTGTGTGAATAAATGCCTTTCGAGCGCAGTGCAATGGATCATTCACAGACGGCAGAACCACACAGGTGTAAGGAAGTTCTGTACTTACTTGAAGTACAAGGCCAGGTCAGTTGCTATTATTGCAACTTCAAACAAACGAATAACTGTTTCAAACTGGCGCTTATTTAGGTTCTGGAAGATGTTTAAACTCTGCAAGATGAAAATTCACAATAAAGTGCAATCATTAATTTGCCTTTGATTCAACAAACAACCAAACTATGCCTAACAGAGTATTTTATTAGAGAAGAAAACTAGGTCTTCTACTGTTTTGCTTTCAATTTTTGTATCTTGGATTAAGTAAACCACTCTACTAAGATAATAGACCTATAAAAATAGATATTACTAGTGCCCGGCCAGCGTGGCTCAGCAGTTGAGTGAGCATCGATCTAGGATCCAGGAGATTATGGTTTGATTCCCGGTCAGGGCACATGCCCGGGTTGCGGGCTCGATCCCCAGTGGGGAGGCAGTCGATCAATGACTCTCTCATCATTAATGTTTCTCTCTCTCTCTCTCTCCCTCTCCCTTCCTCTCCCTGAAATCAATAAAGATATATATTTTTAAAAAAGATAATCACTAGCAAATGTTCATGTAATCAATGTATGAGTTTTTGGAGTAAATAAAAGTGTTTTCTTCCAAGACCATTTAAAATAATAATAGANAAAAAAGATAATCACTAGCAAATGTTCATGTAATCAATGTATGAGTTTTTGGAGTAAATAAAAGTGTTTTCTTCCAAGACCATTTAAAATAATAATAGATTAAAAATTTGCTTGTATTAATTGAAGAGCTTTAATAAAGAATATCTGGTAAATGTCCAATAGTTAGTTATGTTGAATTATCCACCAAGTAATTTCAGAGTGATCACAGAAACTGTTGGAAAACTTTCAGCAACTGCGAATTACTCTAGTACCTGGACACATTTTGGCCTTTTCCATACTTCACCTTATTTCTCCATTAGCCCTCTTTAATGGTATATGTACTTTTGGAAGCACCACTAAGTCATTTTGGGGAAAAAAAGAAGATTAAGCACATATGCACGCATGCAATTTTTTTTTTTTTAAGTAAGCAAAGATCCTTACATTGGAGCAAGATCCCACTTGCTCAAACAAAGACTCTTTTTATTCTCCCCCTACTATTAAAATGGCAGTAAAAATATAAATTCTGCATAGTACACCCACATAGGTAGAAGTGGCTCTAATTCATTCCGATTAGGGCTCCTAGGTGAGGCGAGGCCATGGAAAGTGCAGGCACTTCAGCCTTCAGGTTGGAGAAACTGCCAGCACCTCCATGGCTTCCTGGTGACCACACACAAGATACTTAATTTCTTCTTCACGCCTTTGTTGTATAAGATGGGGTTGGTATGAAAAAGCATAAATAGAAGTATCATACACTTTGTAAAAAAGTGTTTTTGAATAATAAAAGGGTTCTGTTATTTATGCCGAGTAATTTATTTTGTCATTTCTACAGTACATTATAGTATTACAATGTATACTCCTACAAATTTGACTAACAAGGTTTTCCCAGCTATTCACTGAAGTTAAAGGGTGGGTTTCTGTCTGGTTAGAATATAGATGGTTCTAATTCTCCAAGCAGTGAGTCCCACTCTACCGGGATATAAGGCCATTTCAGGTCAGATTCTTATAATATGCAAAACAAAATGTCTGAGTCATGCCCACGAAATGCCAAAATTGTTAGATAAATCCTAAGTATCTTCCTTATTAAAAAAAATTAAAGGTTTTTAATGTAAATGTTTTTATTCAAAAACAAGCAAATAAAAAAGTTGTATGGTCTATATATGATGACTAAAAATTTCTCTCTTTGTTTCCAGCGTTCCGTTTGCCTGCTTATAAAAAGCTCTGAGATTGCATTGCCTAGCGACTCTGTTTACAGGCCTTAAAAGTCTGCCATTAGCAGGTTGAATAGCATTGTAGACAGGTCCTCACCAAGGTGGTAAAGATTACTGAGATGCAATATTCCTTTTAGAAAGAATAATAAACCTTTATATAGCCATCAGAACCAGTTCAGACTGCAGAGTAAACAGCATTTAACAAATTAAAATGGAACAACCACAACTCCATTATAAACTCTCCAGAAGGGAAAAACATACGAGATACGAGGAGCCTTCCAATGTTAGGCATTTAAATATTTGGCTGTAGTTTCCAAACATATTTTTCTTTAGTAAATAAATGTAAAATTAAATAATAAAAATATATTTGACACAATCTGCCTGTGGTATCACATAATCACTGGGAATTATAGAAATTTCTTACTCAAAGATTTAAGATCGTCTCAACTAGTAAAACAGACTCATAACAAATTGGATAATTACCAATTTACTCTTATCTCTCTGAGTTACTTTCAACTCTCCTTTTAATGGTCATAGAATAGATATTATCAATTTTATGGCATAAATGCTACTGCAGGGAGAGGTTCTGGCTATGCACAGAGTTATTAAAGTCCTTGGTGAAGACGCAGATTCCTGCGCCCCACCCCAGAGAGCCCAATGGTAGGGATGGAAGCAGCCCAGTATTTGTTTTGAGCAGCCTGCCCACCCCGCCCTGGGAAACGAATGATTCTGATGCGGCCGGTCCCTGTCCCCACGTCCGCGCGCTGCATCGGTCATCGGCTATTAAAAACACTCCAAGCCCTTTCTTTTCTTTTTCCACTTTCCTACCTGGTCACTCTGCCTTATAAGTTTTCCCAGCTGGCTTTTCAGTACCTAGAAGACTGTAGTGTTATCTCAAAACTTGGGATATATTTCTGTGTATTCCTTTCCCTGAGCCCTTGATAAATGATTAATATCCAAACTGAGGGAGCTCACCTGGCCGGGTGGCTCAGTTGATTGGTTGGAGCCTTGTCCCCATACACCAAAAGGTTGTGGGTTCGATCCCCAGTCAACTGACCTGTTTCCTCTCTCTCTCTCCCTCTCCCTCTCCCTCTCTCTCTCTAAAGGTCAATAAAAACATATCCTCAGGTGACAATTTTAAAAAAAGAGAGAAAGCTCCACTCTTGAGAGGGCTCATTCATCCTAATGAGCATCTGCAGGTTAAACAAATTATCTGCCACGACAAAACAGTGTTCCCCTCCGTCTAATAAGTGACTCATTTAGTTGTTTTTGGTTTGGAACTTTCTCAAGTGATTTTTTAAAAAATAGCATAACTACATTATATCCACAACTTTCCCACAAGCTAAGTACCCCTTAAATAAAACTGGTAAAGGGAAAATAGACTACCTCTCGTGGAATATTAGCAGTACTGATATGTGCGAATCCCAGTGAATTCAAGACCAAGTTCAAAGCCCCTTCCTGCAAAGGCCGTTCAGGGTCCGATCCCTCTCCTCCCCTCTGCCCTGCCCCCTCTGAATGTCTCCCTCTGGAGCTCTCAGGGCCTCTCTGACGGCAGTTGTGTGATTCCGTCTCACATCCCCATTCGTGCCTTTCTTGACTTTCTGAAAGGCACAGGCGCACCCACGAATGACTAAGAAAATCAGTGGCCGCATGGTCATTTTCCCCCTTCGCACCCCCTTTCCCATCCCCTGGAAGCTTTTTCTTCTTTTCCCACAGACCCAGCAGAGATTCTGGGGCTTTCCATGGCTCTTTGGCCCTTTATCCCAGCTCCTTCCAACTTGGGCTGTTCCGAAACGGTTGCAATACATCAGTCGCTATCCACTGGCCTTCGCGAGGTGCGCGGTGGGCCGGGCCCGGAGGCCGCCCTGCTTCCCCGCCTGCCTGCCCGGCTCGCGGGCTGCGCGGGGCTC